AGCGATCATGGCTTGTTTTGGTTGTTACCACAACTCTACTTACGCCAATGTTTCTTTTTGCCAACCCGATTTTAAAAGCTTTAGGCCAAGATGAAAGCATTGCAGAAGTGGCCGGAACTATTGGGCTCTGGTTTATTCCTGTGATATACTCCTTTATTATATCATTTAGCTGCCAAATGTTCCTACAGGCACAGAGTAAGAACATGATTATTACATACTTGGCAGCGCTGTCGCTATCAATGCACGTCTTTCTCTCATGGCTTTTAACAGTTAAGTACAAGTTTGGGATTACCGGCGCTATGGTATCCACAATTTTGGCATACTGGATCCCTAATGTGGGTCAGCTAATATTTGTTCTCTCTGGAGGATGTCGGGAAACATGGAAAGGTTTTTCGTTTCTAGCTTTCGAGGATCTTTGGCCAATAGTCAAGCTTTCTTTATCATCTGGTGCAATGCTCTGGTTAGGCTTATTTCATTTACTTGAACTACTCTAAAAGTATATTAACTTGCCAAACCACAAGGCCCTGATTTGTTTATACTATAAAATAGTAATATATTGTTATGACATATTGTACATATGTTTCATACCATTCATGAGATTCGAGACTAAAATGCCTGGTGTGGAGTAGTGTTTTTAGTATTAATCTTTTTCAGTATAATTCCAGAAGTTAGTATCTTTTTGCTGCCCACGATTTCAATATATGTCATGTTTTTATATGCCTTTTTTGTATTATTCCCTAAAAGAAATCAAGGATTTTGGAGGAGAAACGATTTAGGATTTACTTCTCTACACATTCAATATGCAATTTTTCATCACAAACTTTTGGTTTTTTTACAGTCTTGAACTCTGGTACGACACAATACTGATTCTTTTGACTGGAAATCTGAAAAATGCCGAGGTTGCAATTGATGCTCTTTCTATATGGTAACACTTTTTTCCCTCATTCTTTAATTTCCTTATTGTCCTAGCATCGTATAAGAATGAAAGTGCACTTTTTTTCAGTCTTAACATCAATGGTTGGGAAATGATGATTTCTCTTGGCTTCTTGGCTGCAGCAAGGTATTATAATTGTCCTTATTTTCCTCAAAGACACAAAGCTATCTGAGCTTGTTTATATTTCATATTGATCCTGCCACTTTTGATGTATCTTCAAATACTATATTTTAGTGTTCGTGTCTCAAATGAGCTTGGAAGTAGGAACTCTAAAGCTGCGAAGTTTTCAATCATTGTGACAGTGTTAACATCATTAGTCATTGGACTAGTTCTATTTGTATTTTTCTTGTTCTTTCGTGGACGTCTAGCTTACATCTTCACTAAAAGTCAAGATGTGGCCAAGGCAGTTGCTCATTTGTCGCCTCTCCTGGCATTTTCCATACTTTTGAACAGTGTTCAACCAGTTCTTTCTGGTAAGCTTATGTTTGGTGGTTTGTTATATCATTTATGCATTATTTTCACACGCTGATGAGCTCTTGCTATAATTTTTTTTCATCAGGAAGAGAAACTTAAATAATAGCAGCTATAATATGCTGATGAATTTTTTTTTCCCTCTTACGATAGGTGTTTCCATAGGGGCTGGACTGCAGAGCACGATAGCATATGTTAACATAGGATCCTATTACATCATAGGAATTCCTGTTGGAGTTGTGCTTGGTTATGTTATCAAACTACAAGTTGAAGTGAGTTTTAGTCAATTTGCTTATTCTATCCTTAATGCTCTTTGACATATTCTTATTGACGATTCCGCCTACCCCCGATCTCCAACAGACATGTACGGGGACACAAACACAGATACAACACAAAAAGGGATAGCGATAATAACGACAAACACTTCGCTCTTCATGAAAACCAAATAGTTTTTTCTTTCATTTATATGCACCAACCGGCATGAATTTTCTTTATGCTATGATCGATAAACTTTTTTTTAATGGTTATATTTGACAGGGTGTTTGGATTGGAATGATATTTGGCACACTTGTCCAAACTATCATACTTGTAATAATAACTTCCAAAACTGATTGGGATAAACAGGTAACTTGGATTTGTTTTCCCTTTCACTTCTAGTGGTTGTTTTCAAACAATTTGATACCTTGGTATGAAGATCAACCTGCTAACTATGGATATGATGCCGAAAATAGACTAATTTTTATATCACGCTTCAATTTGATTACCTATTCAAATGTCTATTTGTTTTAGGTGGCTATTGCTCATAGACGGGTTAATAGATGGTTTGTGGAAGCTGAAACCGGTACAAATTCGAGGTCAACTGCCTGACGAAAATTTTTCCCTCGGCAGTTGCCACAATTGTTTTGCTTATTTCCAAATCACTTGTTTGTTCTGCTATTTTAAGTTATGAATAACATTGTAATAGGCAGACTTTGAATCTGTAGATTGTTCTCTCGGCATTTTGGTTCCAAAATCATCGAGTTCTTATCAAGCATCAATCGAGTGATCACGCTGCATCAATTCGTTTCCTTTATAGGATGTGTTTCATAAATTTGTGTGATACACATGGATACAAATAAGTAGATTTGACTTAATTTAAACAAAATTACAAGTGATTCAAATTTGGAAACAAACAAGATTCGTTTGTACGATCTTTTACGAGGCTAATCAAAACAAATTGAGTGCGTCCAAACCAATTGCCAACTAATTGAAGTGGTTAGGTCACCATTTTTTCAATTTGTCAAGTCCGATTTTAATAACTATGATTCAGATATTCGAGAAGAATTTTGATTGTTTATAAATTAATCGATCATTTAGCTAGTGTTACACTTTGGCAGAGCCAGTGACTCGAGTGAAGTCGTAACAAGGTAGCCGAACTGGAAGGTGCGACTGGATCCTCTCATTTTCAGTGAAAGCTAATGTTTGTTGGGTATTTTG